CGTGCCCCCATTGGTGGATGCGCAAGGCGCCTGCAGCGCATCGTCCGCGAGTCACCTGCTCGCTCTCTGGAAACCCCAAACGTGCCCACGGACCCTCGAAGGTCGGCAGCCCCCCTGCTGCAGGTAACACCCGGGCTGTTTTCTCCGGGCTGTCCTTTTCCTTGGGTCAGAAGAGATCGCTCTGACTTCGGGCCCCGTGGAGCAGGAGCCGGCGGCAGAGCCTCTGCTTAAAGGAAGCCAAGCGCCGGCCGTGGAAGGTGCGGCAGCTGCCAAGAGCGGGGCAGGTTGCTGCAGGGCTGCCGAGGGGGGCCACCCGCCTGGGATCCCCAGGTTCCACCTGGCGGCAGCCCCCTTGCCCAGGGGCACCGCGTCCGGCAGGCTCTGGCCTTGCTGTCTGAAAGGGCCTGCGTGGGGACCGCACGCTCTTGCCGGCAGGCAGGCACGCGAGAGGGGATCCGCTGTGGGGCACTGGACGCAAGGCAGCAGCTGGCCCGGGGGCTTCCCAGGACAGGCGCACCTGTGCGTGCGTGCGTGCATTTGTTTGTGGGCTGGCAGGGCTCGCAGGGCAAGCGGCACCGGCAGCCTTCAGGCCTGGGCACTGGCCAGCTTTTCCTCGGCAGCTATTTTTGGCAGACCCGTGAGAAAACCGGGAGGCTCACAAAGGCGATCCGCGCCCAAGAGCTGGAGGACGGTGCCCATCGCTGCAGGTGCCGAGCGGGGCAGTCTAGGGCGCACTCGTCCCAGCGTCCCCGTGAGCCCACGGGCAGGAATCAAGCGGAACGACAGGAGCCCGAGCTGCATCCCCGAACTGTCGACTTCTGTCGCTGCAGGTTTACTCTTCCTATCGTATGCTTGGCAACTTTAAAAGGAAAACTCTGCAGGCCTGTTGTTCCCATTTTTGAGCACGGCCTTCCTAGCGAAAACACTCTGAAAGCGGAGTCGGTTTTACAGTTTTCAGTTCACTGGTGCGGAGGACGCAAGTCGCCACCCCGTATGAACGCTAACCTGCCACACAAAGCCACGCACACAATGCCAGCCTCCCCCCTCCCCGCAACACACACGTTTTGAATGAAGAGGCTCAGATTTAAAGTTCTTGGAAGGGCTGGGAGCAAAGCCCCCCCCCATGCTGGGGGGGCTGGGAGCCTTCCCGGAGAGGCGCTCCCCCACCCCCAGGCAGCCCCTCCCCATGGCGATCGCCACACTGGGTGGGGGCAGCCGGAGCAGGCCCTGTGGGGAAGCCCTTGTGCTTCGGCAGGGAGGCTTGCGGAAAGTCCTCCTTGGTGGCCCACCTGGCCAGGTTGAAAGGCCGAAAGAAGCTGGAAAGGGGCCCAGGACGGTGGGGGGCAGCTGGGGGGAGGCAAGGCCATTCAACGGTGAACCAAGAGCGGGGCTTGGCCACGGATCACCCGGAATGGCGGCAGACCCAGTCCCCACTCCGGCACGGGCCCGAGCACCGGAGAGACGGCGGAGCAGCAAGCAGAGCCCCCCTGCGTGTGAGCCGACGGGTGCGGGGGCCGGTGGGGCGGCCTTGCCGGGCCCAGAGCCTGGGGGTGCAGGGGCGGGGAGCTCACTCCCTGCCGCCACACCGCAGCAAGATGGCGGAGCCGGTGCTGGAGCCTGAGAGCCGCGCCACGCCTCGCCCGCCCCTTCATCCAGGACGCACAGGTGTCGCTGCGCCGGGCGAGCCCCTTGCAGGCCCTCCGTGGCAGCCCTGCAGCTGCGTGGGGGCCGTGCTCGTCAGGGCGGCGCACGAGCGCCCCGTGTGGCGCCCGCAGGCCCTGGCCACGGCCGGGCAGGCGCCAGCACCCCTTGCGCTTCCGCAGGGCTGCCGGAGGGGGGCCCGGATGCACAACGCGGCGGGGGGCAGCTGCTCAGGGCATCGGGGCCCCGCTGGGTGGGCCCGGGGCCGCACGGCCCAGCATCCTGCCACACCGTGGCCGGCCAGCCGCCCACGGGAACCCGCCCCGGCAGGACGCGCAGCCCCCTCCGGGCCAGGCTGCCCAGCGGCAGAGGGGGTGGCGGGCACCACGAGGACGCGACCTGGGCCGCGCAGCAGTCCGCCCGCCCTGCGAGCCCAAGGCAAACGGGGGACCCCGAGGCCCGCTGGCTGTCGGGGGGCCTCCGCAGCGGTGCTCCTTCCGCGCGGTTGCCGCAGAGGGGCTCCGGAGCGCGGGGAGGGAAGAGGACGCTCGCTTGGCGGGTCGGCTGGATCGCCCTCTCTCCCTCCCTCCGGCTGAGTAATGGCTGGGCCTAATTGCTTACTGCCGGTTACTAAGCTACGGGGTGGCAGCGGCTTGGACACCCATCAATATATTAACCTCGGCCTGCCACCCAAACAAGCTCATTCATTTCCAAGGGTGTTTATCTCCCTCCTCGCCTCCTCTCCGGGGAGCAAACATAATTATTATTTAAACGCGAGTTAATTCGGCCGAGGTGTTGATCAATAATGGGGAATTACTCTTTTAAAAATAGAGAAATCACGAGGCCAGGCAGGAAGCACGCGAGGCTGGGGAGGGGGCCCTGAGGTGGCGGTGCCGCTCAGTGGTCAGAGGCATGGCCAGCCGGCCAGCCAGTGGCTCCCTCCAGAAAGGGCTGGACGGGACGGGACGGGACGGCTGCTCCAAGCTCTTCCGAGGCTTTCCTTTCGCCCAGCAAGACCAAGCCTTGGTACAACCGGCAGCATCAATCCGGAAGCGCCCCTGACATTTCGGTTTCCCCTAATGCCCAAAGCGCTCTGGCTGGTTCACAACAGGGGAAACCATCAAATGCAACCTAAAATGAACCAGCAAAGCTCAATTTTATAATCGTTACTTTACATTTACACCTCGTCGTTCCTCCCCTTGGAGGAGCCCAAGGCAGCTTGCATAGGCATCTGCCTCTCCATTTTATCCCGACAGCAGCAGCCCCGCGAGGTCGGTCAGCTGAGAGTCTGTCACTGGCCCACGGTTACCCAGCGAGCTTTGAGAGAGCCCGGACTGCCCAAGTCCCGACGGTTGCACTGGCTTTGAGTATTTTAACCCTGCACTACAAAATGTGTGAGAAATAGAGCAAGAAAAGTATCTTTTTAAAAAGAACGAAAACTAGCAAAGGCACAGCTATTCCATAGTAAGATGCCACTTGCTGCTAAGTATACAGGCCCTTCTCCTACTGAGGGAAGGAACAGAAACTGGAACGAGCTTGGAAGGCCTGTTCTTCCCATCCCATCCTGCCACAAGATTTAAGAAGCAAGTTGGCATCAGGGGAGAATTTGCAAGGCCACTCCGGCCTGTTGAACTCTTAGAAGGTAGTGCGCACGCTTAATAGGCTCATGAACAGTAACGGACACCTCTCTCATAGGTAATGGGCTCATTAGCATGAACGGGGGACGTATGAGCGGGAGGGGGAGCATATCAAGGGGTCGTACGATGGAGGCGGATGGGGAAGATTGCGACCTCTTAGAAACCAGCCAATGGCGAAGCGGCGATAGTGCTGAGCATCGGGGAAAGGAATGTATAAAATCTCATTGATGTCTGAAATAATTGCTCTTTGTTTCTCAGACTGAGACACTGAGCCAGCCTTTGCACACGCTTTTTGTATGGAATAAACTGCTTGCACCGACCCGAATCCTGTCTCACGGAGTTCTGAATCTCACAGATTGAACTAAAAGCCCAATGCAGAGACCAACATGCAAAAACCAAGCTGCAAGCAGAGACCGAAAGGCCAAAATGCCTGTGGAACTAGGAAGGTCTGTGCCTGGTGCCCTGGAGAACACGGCGCAGGTGCCAGGGGAGCCTCGCGGGGGGGCCCAGCTGGGCAGGCCCCCTCGAGATGCAGCCGGGCAGCCAGTCGCCCGAGCGGGAGGGTCTCCCTGGGAGCCCTGCACTGAGCGGGGGCGGGGGGGGGGGGCTCTGGCCCCTCCTGACTCTACCGTTCTGCGATTCTGTGGGAGCATGCAGCAGACTTTCCCACCTCTTGGCCTCAGGAATGATGGGAACGGTAGTCCAGCACCTCTGAAGGGTGGCTGGAGAAGTCTGGACTGCATCTTTTAAAAATAAGGGCAGCCAGCCAGGCCGGAGGAACGCACGGGCCCCCTGCACCCACCCAAAGAAGCCGAGGCTTCGGGGAGAAACCCACCCCGGGCTGGAATTGCCGCTGTCCGGCAAGATGCCTCTGCAGGCAGACCGCAGGGCGGGTGCCCAGCCGGCATTCCCCCCCAGATCCTCGCATCCACCCCCTTTCCCTCTTTCTGGAAGGCCTCCGTGAATGCTAGAGGCCGCCACGTCCCACGGGTGGACCGGGGGCTTTGCGAAGAACCGTGTGGGTCCCACTGCCCAACCTGCTGCTTCTGGATTTCCGCATTATGCCCAGGGAGAAGCTCCGAGGGGCTGGGAGGCGTCAGCCCGAAGTGGGTCCATCGCGCCCGGTGCCCAGCGTCCGAGAGGGGCTCGGGAAAGGTCAGGCAACTCGAACACGAGAAGAGGATGCGGGAAAGGTGGTGGCCGAGCGGGAAGGACACGCGTCGGCCTCAGGTGGGCCTGGATGCCCCCGGGCCTCTCCGAGCTCTCCCACCCACCCACCCACAGAGGCCCACTGCCCCCGGCAGCCTCCTCCTGCCCGGGAAGGCAGCCAGGAAGGAAGCCGCTCCGGCCAGGGCCCTCTTCCCTTGGTGGCCACCCACATGCCTCTGGGAAGCCCAGAAGGGGGGCAGGTCCCCCCCACACGCACGCACTCATGCGCCGCTATCTCACGATGTGCAGCATGCGCTGTGCCAAGGCCCCAGGCCTTGTCGGCGCTTGGTTTGCTTCTAACATCGGGGGGGGGGGGCTCGCTATTGCAGGGCTGTGCGCGATCGGTCCACGGGCTCGCATGTGGGCCGCGTGAAGAGCCGCCCAGGTGCGCAGGATCAGGCTGGCCACGCCACTGGCCCGGCTAACTGGGAAGCTCCCGGAGCCGAGGTTCCCCGCGAGGGAGAGCGGGAGAGCACATGCGGAGCGAGGAAGGCCGAAGGGCAGGCTACTTACCCGGCTGGCTGTGCCTCTGAGCATAAACTACCAGAGCCGTGGCAAGCACCACATAACACGCGGCCGGCACGGGATAAGCCATCTGCGGAAGCAAACACAGAGAACAGCAAGCCGTCAGCGGGCAACAGACCACGGGGGGGGGGGGGGGGGGGGGGGGGGATGAAGAACGGAGGTGGGCAGGCCGGAAGGAAGCCCTGGGGCTGGATCCGAGCACTCTGCTCACGCAGGCCCAGCAGAGGCCGGGGGAAGCCCACGAGTGGCTTCACGTGCAGGCGCACCAAAGATCTGCGCGAGGGGAGCAGCAGCTCTGCAGTTCCCTCTTCTCTTCCGTTCCCTGGGATGCCCGGCATGGCGCCTGCCCTCCTCACAGCACCGGGTCGACCTTTCTCCTGGGCCGCCCCCACTCCCCTGCTCAGCCCCTGCCAGCTCAGGCCCCATCGGCGGAGACTCAGAGTCGGGGGTCTGCCCCACACGCAGCCAAGCGAGCGGGACGGCCGGGGCTGGAACCTCGGGGGCCGTCAGGGCTGTGCACGGAGAGGCGGCTGGGGTGGCGGTTCCGCATTTGGGGCACAGCTGTCCTTCTGCAGAAGGGGCCAGAGCAGGAGGAACTGGGCTGGCGGATGGGTCCCCGGGAGCGGGCGGGACTTCCCGTCCCTCTTCCCAGATGCTTCGAACCCTTCTGCAGTCAGCAGGACTCCCACCCCACGCCCACGTTTGGAAAAGCAGATAGAAGTGTGTTGCGCTGCACTGGACGGATGGCGTCTCCCAAGCTCGATGTGGAAATCCCAGCTGTGCGCTAGAAGTCCTGTTTCTAGAGGGCAGCTTTCGGAACACAGAGACAGAGTACGTCAGAAGGACCCTCCTGGGCCATCTAGTCTGACCCCCGGCTCCAGCCAGCTCCACTCGGGTAGTACCCAGCATGTGGGTGTCCAGTCTTCGCTCGAATGCGCTCACTCATGGGGCCCCCACCACCTCCCCTGGCAGCTCGTTCCATATCCGAGGGGTCCGGACCATCAGGAAGGGCTTCCTGGCACCCAACCTGAAATCCGGCTAGTGCGCCGTCACAAGACCAACAGCGCGTCTTGCAGCGCCTCAAGAAAGAGCACATCTATTCCGGCACATGCATTTCTGGAGGACGGACCCAGAAGCAAAAGCACATGGCCCCCAGAGTAATCCAAAAGGGAAGTCCCCCCCACCACCTGCTTCCAGGAGGACAAAACAGTCATTAGTTGTGTACAGGAGGTTGTGATACCCCTGAAAGGAGGAATCAAGCGCTGCTGCTTTTAGCAAGAGATAGCAGGGTGGTCTCAATCCCCCGGCGGGGGTGGTGTGGCCTTGCCTCGCTGCAGAGACCCCCGGTCGCCCATGCCCACCCCGCTGCAATGCCCCAGTCAATGTTTTCCGAAGAAATCGTGCTTCTCTGTTGGACTGAAAATGTCACCATGCTGTGGCTAAAAAGCTGAAGCGAGCAGCACACGTCTAAATGTTTAACTTCCTGTCAACTCGCAGCAGTTTCAACATCTTTCGGAACCTCGTTTCAAATACAGTCTTTTGCCAACCGAATGAAGTGACTGCCCTTCACGATGCGGAGCCGAGATGTGGGCGCGCCGACCTGGCCGGAGTGATGCCAGGCACGGGGAGAGATGCAGGCCAGGAGGCGAGGAAGCCAGCGGGAACGGTGCTGCCCCCCCCAGCCTGCGCCAGACCCCAAAGCAGCGGCGCCCGAGCCCCCGAGGCCAGGAACCCGACCGCAGGCCCAACCTGGAGCAAGGACAGGAGTGTGCGGCCACCCGGGACTGTGTGCCTGGGCGAAGGGTCAGCAGGGGCCCCTGCAGCCCGGGCCTCAGCAGGGGCCCAGCGTTGCTCCTCCTGGCAGCCCCCTGGCCGCCACCCTACGGGGAAGGCGGCAAAGCAGCGCACCGCTGCCCCCCACGCCCCTGGGAGAGCCGAGGCTGCAGCAGGGGCTCTGCCTGGAGCCCCACGTGCGGGAGGGGCAGCCCCCCAGGCCTCGCTGGAGCCGTGGGCTGCAGCTTCCCCCTGGGGTCCTGGGGAGACCACCCACCTGCTGGCTCCTGCACTGGCCCCGGGAGGCCGGGAAGGCCTGCGGGGCAGCAGAGGGGCGAGGCCCCCACTTGAGCCGGGCCAGGGCAGAAAGACGCGGAGCCCCCAGCAGGGCAGAGGGGGGCGCGGCTTCTCTGGGAACGGGGAGGCCCCGGGGCTCTGCCCGCGCCACACGGCTCCTCCAGCTGCCCCCGCCAGCAGGGGGGCTCCTTGAGGGGAGAGGCAGGCTGGCCCCAAATGCACGGGGGGGGGGCGTGGCTGGGTGCGCTGAGGGCCGGTGGCGGAGGCACTTCCGGAATCAAGGACCTCCTTGATTCCTTGTTCGTTGTATACATTAGTTTTCCTTTCCCCCAAAAGGGGTTGCTCAAAGGGAAATCGAAAATATAGCAAGCATAAAACAATAACTAATCATTAAAATGCACTTACAACAGACTAAAAGCGCATCAAGGCCAAAAACGCAAAGAATCAATATTAGCAGTCAGGAAATAAAGTTAATGAATTAAAAATATTAGCCTTGCTTTGGGGTTTTGCACGCACCCGCATGCACACGCGCACGTGCGCGGCCCGCCTCCACAGGCAGGAGGGGCACCGAAGGAGGCGGCCCGGGAGCCGGCCCCTCTGCGCCCACGAGGAGGCCTTCAGCGGCAGACATCTTCCACAGGGCGAGGAAAGGAGGGCTGCCCCACGGAAGTGTTCCGGTGGAAGAGCGGAGGGTGGGGGTGCCTGTCTTGTCCAAGAGGTCCCTGGGGCTGCTGGGCCAGATCCTGCATCCAGGATCAGGGGGGGGGGGGGGGCCCTCCACAGTCCTCTGCTGGGCGCCGAGGGGAAAGGCAGGGCTGAGAAGAGGAGCCACGCGAGCGAAGCCCTGCTGTGAGACGCCGTCCTTGCTTCGCTTCCCACGTATTTTCCTGGGACTGCGTGGACTGACGATCAGGATCCTGGAGGGGGGGTGGGCAGTCCTGAGCGCCTCTTCCTGAAGTGCCCGAGGGGGGCACCGCAGGCTCCAGGAGAAGGTGCCCAGTGAAGCTGGGCCACGGCCTGCAGGGCCACACTTCCCCACTGCGCTGCGGGTGGGAGCCAGGGCACGCATGCCCGAGTTCAAGGAGCACGCGAAGCTGCCTGCTCCTCGCCCGTGAACCGGGCCTCACGCCTGGCTCGGTGCGCGCTTTGCTTCCCTCGGAGGCAAGGCTGAGATGTGGCGGCCAGCCCGCAGCCAGCCACAAGTGCGACCTGAGCACCCACAGGAGTCTCCTCCGAGCGAGCCCCTCCCTCTCGGGGTTGGGGGCCCCTCCAAGCCAGAGAAAGGTGCCACGCAGCGGGCCCTGGCATCCCTCAGATGAGCAGGGAGGCTGGCACAAATCCTCTGGCTGCCGGCGCCGAAGCCCTTTCCTTGGGAAACTTGCTTTGGCCAAAGGCATTACAGACCCGTTCACTTGACCGCTTCCACTGCTCAGGATCATGGACCTTTTTCCTGAACTGCCTGCCTGCCCCCTTTGCGTAAAATGCGGGGTTTGGGGGCAAAACGGTAAGGCTGAGTCACACGTGCGCCCAGACCGTCTTTCCCACCCCTGGGACGGTGTCCGGAAAGCTCTGGAGCACTCATGGTATCTATGGGGCGACCCCTTTGCACAGAAGCGGGCATGGCTGCCTTTGCCCATAACGTACCAAAACTGTTGCGTGAACTCGCTTGTCTCCGGCTCCTGCCCCCACGGGAAGCCGCCTGAAACGTGGGAACGGCGGTTCCACTCTGGTGGCGCCCCCCCCCCCCCCCCCCCTGAGCAGGCCTGCCCGGTCCTTGAGAAACCAACGTCTGGAAGGTGTGCAGCAGGGCTGCAACGGCCGCCCACGGAGGCGAGGCAGGTGATCTGCAGCCGCAAAAGGCCTTTCCGCCCTACCCCTCTCAAGCGCCGTTTAGAGGTCAGCGCCGAGCAGGACGAAGGAAGCCTTGGGTTAAAAGCAGCGCCACCCGTGGCAACGAGAGCCCCCGGCCGCGGAAGCGCCTCACGCGGCCCGGGGAGGAGGCCCGTCGCCTGCCGACCTCTGCCTTGGAGCGCTTTGCTCCTGGAGGGGGTGCCTTGGCCCCACTTCTCCAGGAGGCCCCGTTCCAGAGTCCGACCCCATCGTGCACTGGGCTGGGGCGGCCCTCCTGCCAGCCCCAGCGGCCCAGGTGGAGGGCTGGCCGCTGAGGGAGAGCGAGGCCCGTCCCTTTCCGAGACGAGGCGACACGTGTTCCCCACGCTGAAACCCATGAGGCCGCCTGGCCCCAGCCCTCCTGGAGTGCCCCTGGGGGCTTAGTCTTCCTTCTCCCCAGTTCTGCAGGAGAAGGGAATGGGAAAGTGGCCATCCAGGCAACCCAGGCCATTGGGGGATCCCCCTGCCCACCCCCATCTCGCTCCCAGGGGCTCCAGAAGGGGTTTGGAGACGAAATGCAACCGGGGTGCGGGGGGAGCTGCTCACCAGATCTGAAGCAGTCCAAATGGGACAGGCCCCGCCGAGCACATGAGCACAGCACACGCCGCAGGGGTCGAGACGGTTCCTCACAGGACTGAACTGTCGCAAGTGGAAATCGATGCAGCTATAAGCATGCGGGAGATGTTGAGAACTTCTAAAAATAGCAGCACGTCGGCCACAGAGAGCCAGGCGGGTGGGACACGGCTCCCCCGCGGATCGGGCCGGCCCCGTTCCCCAGGAAGGGCACGCACTAGCCTCGGAGTCGCCCGAGGACGCCCGGCCGGGGGGCAGGGGCGGGCTGGCCCCTGCCCTCGGGCCGCAGAGCTGACCTTGGTCTGGCCGCCATGTAGTGCCTGACTTGGCGGCTGCTGGCCGGCCGGGGGCGCCCATCTGGGAGGCGGCGTGTCTGCCGCCACATGCCGGCTTCGGTTAAGCGAGGCTAGCAAACGGCGGATTGTGTAAAGCCCACCAGACGGCATTCGCAAACACGAAGCCGAAATTAGGGGAGCCGTGGGGGAGGGGGCAGGGTGGTGGTCGACCACCCGGGGGTGGGCGCCGCAGGTTCACCCT